CCTGGTCCAACAAGGACAAAAGGGACAGACTGGGACCAAACATCAGGGTCTTTCACACAGGAAGTGAATCAGTAGTGGAGTTTTTGTTACTGTGTTCAACTGTTGCAGAATAAACAGATGTCAAATGTGTCTTTTGAAGCACTTCTCAAAATACGACCGTGCAACTCAAAATAACCCTGACGGCGAATACATCGTCTGCAAAAATGTTGACTCGTAGCTCTTGACTAATAGCACTAATATTTTTGTTTGTCTTCGCGTAACAAATGTGTGTAACAGATTTTGTGGCTCTACGACAAAACTGACGACAAAGAATGTACCTCTGCAGCAAAGAATATCCCTCTGATTTCCATGTTAGTAATAAGAAACTTTAGGGATGTAACGATATCCAAATCTCACGGTACCATATTTATTGCGATATTTTGGAGAGGCTGATATAATAATAGACGAGACTTTGCTTTTAAAATACCTTGACAATATTTTGGTGTTAATTGCTACTATAAAACGATGCATTTAAGCAAAGCAACTTGTAATTCAATATATTGTGACAGTTCACGATATTATTGTGAGACTTTTGACGATACGATATCCAATCCAGGCCAAGTTTATTTGTATAGCACATTTTATAAACAAAACAGTTCCCAAAGTGCTTCACATAGCAATGTAAGACAGTTTAACTCTTAAAAAAATAAAAAAAATAATAATAATAATAATAATAAATAAAATCAAAATAAAATCATAAAAAAATAAAAATAAAAATAACAAAGAAAAGAAAAAAATAAAATAAAAAAATGAAGTAAACAAATTAAAACTGTTCACTTTGGGTTGCTGTTCGTACGTGGAGGGGCAGAGCGTTCCAGAGTTTGGAGCCGACCACAGAAAAGACCCTGTCCCCCTGGTTTTAAGTCTCGTTTTAGGCGCCATGAGCTGTAACTGACCCTCGGACCTCAAAGCGCATGTGGGTCTGGATTCTGAATGTTAATTTTCAATGTTGCCATAAACATGTTAACTGTGTTGCTTAATTGTTAATCATTGAGTTTCACAGACTTCACTTTGGACATTCACTTGAACACTGGAAGTCAAAGCATGACGAAGCTGTCATTTTTGAAGTTCATTCGATGTTTGTGAAACATGACTGCATTGAGCCACAACACTTCACTGAAGAACTACAAAAGAGGCAGTACACGTCCTGACACACACAAGCAAAACTGTACAAGCACTAAAATGTTTATAAGGTTTTTAAATGTTTTATAATTTAAGCATTTGGTGAAGCATTTTTTCAGGTAACAACTATCAAAGGAACTACTACACGGGTCACTCACTTTCATCCAGTCAGGAATATTGTTTGCTAAGAGTCGTGGGAATCCAAGTACCTGAAACTATGCCACGAAGGTTTGATTCTCGGCCATTTTCAAAGCGTGAGAAATAGCGTGGAGAGAAATCTGAAGAAACAACCGCCTGACACTATCCCAGAGACAGTAATTTATGTGAAATGATGTAATGTCATAGCAGCAGATGGGACAAAGGCTACGTTCAGACTGCAGGGTTTAACGCTCAATTCCGATTTTTTTGTGAAATCCGATGTTTTTGCGAGGTCGTTCACATTTCCAATTAAATGCGTCTTGTATGTGTCTCCAGTGTGAACATTAAACGGCCCGAAAGTGTCCCACATGTGACACTGGAGACACGACAATCAGCCGCAGTGAGCGTGCTCTGTGTTTACAGAAGTTGTCCAAACATGGACGCAGCATCGAGCATCCTGGAGATTTTAAAGTTCCAGAACATGAACAACTTACTTGTTTTAAGGAGGAGATTGAGAAGGAGAAGGACGAGGTTTTTGGTCGTGGTGTTTTGTGGGGCAGCGGCAGCGACGTCCGTTGAAACGAACGTGTGGATGTGGAGACGGAGCCAAGAGTGGTGAGTGGTGATGTGCTTCGCTTCAGTGACACGGAGTTCATTAACAATTTTCACCTACTTCAGCGCAGAATAGTGACATTTGTGGCTTGTTGATAACGTGTAGGTGGATGAATGCACTTTGGGCGTTCACACTGAAGTCGCATGCCAAAAGATCAGATATGTGTGCTGTAGTTACAGTGAAGCCAAGTGCTACATACACTTTATGTACAGTTTGTTCTCTGCAGTTGTGTGTACTTTTGCTCGATGTAAAAAACCCCAACACTATAGCACTTATCCTCTCTGTGCACGCTCTGACAGTGAGAGCGTCACTGCCAACTACTGTAGTGGATGTGCAATTACACTTTATTCTAGTACAGCAAAAAAAAAAAACATGTTCCCCCGAGGTCACACACACCTCCCCCTGGCATCGCAGAGGCTGTTAAAATAATGTTTTGTGCAGCAATTGGTGAGTCTGAACCAAATATCGGCCTTGGGCTACACTTTTCCCTCAAACTTGTTCCTCACTCATGGTTAAAGGGCCGTTATTACTCTGTTTTCTGATTTTCTATGTTATAATGTTGTTTCCTCATCACAAACAGACCTGGAGGTGTGTTTTGTTTCATTCACACATGTTTAACACACAAACTTGCATAATTAGGCTGAGTTCTTCTCTTAAACAGAAAACACTGCACCTTATGATAGTGTCACAGTACATGAGACCGGTTTTGGTCTTGAGACCGGCCTCAAGACCGTTTTTTTACAGTCTTGGTCTCGTCTTGGACTTGACTCCGTTTGGACTCAGTCTTGTTTTGGTCTTGATGGCGCTTGGTCTCGGTCTTGTCTCGGTCTAATGGGACTTGGTCTTGGTCTTGACAGCACTTGGACTCGGTCTTGTCTCGGTCTTAACAGCGCTTGGTCTCGGTCTTGTTTCGGCCTAATGGGATCTGGTCTTGGTCTTGTCTCGGTTTTGACAGCGCTTGGTCTCGGTCTTGCCTCGGTCTGAATGGAGCTTGGTCTTGGTCTTGTCTTGGTCTGGATGGCACTCGGTCTCGGTCTTGTCTCGATCTCGATGACACTTGGTCTTGGTCTTGTCTCGGTCTGAATGGAGCTTGGTCTTGGTCTTGTCTTGGTCTGGATGGCACTCGGTCTCGGTCTTGTCTCGATCTCGATGACACTTGGTCTTGGTCTTGTCTCGGTCTGAATGGAGCTTGGTTACGGTCTTATTTCGGTCTTGATGGCTCTTGATCTTGTTTCGGTCTTGATGGCGCTTGATCTTGTTTCGGTCTTGATGGCGCTTGGTCTCGGTCTTGTCTCGACCTAATGGGACTTGGTCTCGGTCTTGTCTCAGTCTTGACAGCACTTGGACTCAATCTTGTCTCAGTCTCAATGGCGCTTGGTCTCGGTCTTGTCTTGGTCTCGATGACACTTGGTCTCGGTCTTTTCTCAGTCTTGATGGTGCTTGGTCTCGGTCTTTTCTCAGTCTTGATGGTGCTTGGTCTCGGTCTTGTCTCGGTCTCGATGACACTTGGTCTCGGTCTTTTCTCAGTCTTGATGGTGCTTGGTCTCGGTCTTGTCTTGGTCTCGATGACACTTGGTCTCGGTCTTTTCTCAGTCTTGATGGTGCTTGGTCTCGGTCTTGCCTCAGTCTCGATGACACTTGGTCTCGTTCTTGTCTTGGTCTCGATGACACTTGGTCTCGGTCTTTTCTCGGTCTCGATGGCGCTTGGTCTTGGCTTTTCTCAGTCTTGATGGCGCTTGGTCTCGGTCTTGTCTCGGACTCGAGGTCTGACACCCAACCAGTGTGATAAAATTTCATTACGGCCGGTAAATGTGCAGACGCTGCTCAACATCACTGCAAAACCTTTAATTGAATGTAACTGTAAATGTTATGAACTTGAAAAAATCCACTTGATTCACTTTGAAGTTGTTTTCTGTCAAGTGCCAGAGGAAGTTGGATTAAAAAAGGAGTTCTCAGGGTCAGGGTCCAAAAAAGTGTGCAGCACAGTTTCCTTGGCCTATTTTAATCTTAAATGAACATTAATCAGATTAAATGGAGATAGATTTATAAAAATATTGATATATATGTGCCAAAATATCTGTAAAATATAAATGAAAGTAGGAAATTACAAAAACGGTCTTAATTTGGTCTCGGGCCGTGGACTTGGTCTTGGTCTTGATTAGTGCGGTCTTGACAAGGTCTTGACTCCTTGTGATGTCATGTGGTAATACAGGGAGTTCTCCACTGTGTTTTTAAACTCCATACACCTTCACTAGAATCATTTGGATATTTTCAGCCCTGGATTAACTCTGTCCACGGAACAAAAGTTGGAACAGAGCATTTTGAGCTTTGGAGATTTAGACCGACTAATAATAAAGGATTTACTCAAACTTGTGCAAATGAAACAAAAAATAACTCCAGGTCTGTTTTGGATGAGGTAACAACTTTATAACTTGGCTTAAAGCTCACAAGGACCTTTAACCCTTACGTACTATTTGGGTTAATTTTGACCCGTTTTGACATTCAACAGTAGTAAAAATACACTAAACATCATTCTTTGATCCTGAAATTTGAGGACTTTTCCAAAATTTTGCCAAAATACACAAAAATGAAAATATTTTAAAATGTTATACTTTTATATACCACTGCTTTGAATGCATTGACTAGTTTGAAATAAGCATAATAATAAAATAATTAAAAAATAAGCATAATGGCTGCAGTGGATAAAAATGGTTATATTATAAATTTCAACAGTTCCAGAATATTCATGTCAGTTTCAAATGCAATAAATATCATCATCATATTGGCTTTTATGTTTTTATTTGTTTTGTAAAACAGGACATGACGCTGTGTGATAGCAGATGTTTTTCTCAAAAAACGAGTGCTGTAAAACTTACAAAAATATGCTCTTCCTGCTCTCCGAAACATTATATTTATATATTACACATATTTATTCATGTGGGACAGTCTATTTATTTGGTTTAGACACTTACTGTAAGGGAATTCTTGGTCCGGGCCAAATTTGACCTGGACCACACTGTGAAGGCTTAAGAAATGAACAGTATGTAAGGGTTAAAATAACCATGTCTTAACATTTGTGTTTCCTTAGTCCCTGTCAGACCTCGTCACTCCCTGCCCAGAAACACCACCTCTGCCCACCGCGCTGCTCGTGTGAACCGGACACTTCACCCGTCTGCTCCGGCCCGCCTCAGGACCCAGCACTCCTCCGCCCCGTCCAGCGCCAAATCCCCCCTCTCCAGGACGCTACGCCGGGCCCCCCAGTCCTCCTCGGGGCCCCGGCAGCCCGAGAGGTACTCCGCGGAGACCCCCCTGCTGGAGAAGAGACGCTATTACAACTCCAGGCTTCAGGCGGACCAGAGGAGGCACAGGCAGGCTCCCAAACTAAGTAAGGAAATGGACAACAGTTTTGGAGAAGTATGGAAGAGTAGTGCTGCCAACTGAGTATTAGGGTTGTCAAAAATATTGCGATCGGCATGGTTTTAACACAAGACAGGCTTCACGGGGCCATTATCTACTTCCACTGCCCAGGATTAATGCCCTGAAAAGAACTGTTATGTTCAGAGTTTTGGAACACACTTACCCAAACCTTAACTGAACCAAGTTTTAAGAAAAATGTTGACGAAATACACTGGAGATTGTACATTTATATTTTTACAATTATATTTGGTCCATACGTATAATGAATTTACTTTTATGTAAAATATCAATATAAATATCTCTGTAAAGACTAATGGGGAACCAAGAAATAAATCAACTAAAAAGTATAGAAAATCAGATGCTAAAACTAGTATCAAAACTAGACTCATTTGAGCAGGTATCGATACTAAAAAAGGACAAGTACGACCATTTAATGTGGAAAATCACATTATATTGTTTAAAGAAAGAGTGTTTTTAATTGTTATTGTGGTATCAGTATCTATTCTTTAATATGGTGACAACGCTACTAAGTATACATACATTTTACATAACCTGTGGGTCTCCATGGATATGTTATTGTTTTGTTAGGAATGTTCCACAGTATGGCATTACCTGTATATCTTGCTTTTATTCAATTACAGGCAGTGTTGGGGAGTAACAGATTACATGTACTGGAGTTACGTAATCAGAGTACAAATTATGAGTAACTGTATTCAGTTACAGTTACTGTTTCAGTGAGAGGTAATTGGATTACAGTTACTTTGTTGAAATAAATGGATTACAAGACGGTATTTTCCTGTTTTTACATTTTGGGCTAAACCAGGACTAAATCCAGGACTAAACTAGGACTAAAACCAGGACTAAATCAGCACTAAACCAGGACTAAACCAGGTCTAAAATCAGGACTAAATCAGGACTAAACCAGGACTAAACCAGGTCTAAAAGCAGGACTAAATCAGGACTAAACCAGGACTAAACCAGGTCTAAAAGCAGGACTAAATCAGGACTAAATTGAGGACTAAACTAGGACTAAAACTAGGACTAAAACCAGGTCTAAAACCAGGACTAAATCAGCACTAAACCAGGACTAAACCAGGTCTAAAAGCAGGACTAAATCAGGACTAAACCAGGACTAAACCAGGTCTAAAATCAGGACTAAATCAGGACTAAATTGAGGACTAAACTAGGACTAAAACTAGGACTAAAACCAGGTCTAAAACCAGGACTAAATCAGCACTAAACCAGGACTAAACCAGGTCTAAAAGCAGGACTAAATCAGGATTAAATTGAGGACTAAACTAGGACTAAAACTCGGACTAAAACCAGGTCTAAAACCAGGACTAAATCAGCACTAAACCAGAACTAAACCAGGTCTAGACAATCTACCTAAAAGTAGAGTGGACATAATTTAAGGCAGCAGTGATCTTATATAAAAAATAATTTCTCTATCAATAATATTTTTAATATGTTTAAGTAAAGACTGGACTTTTTATTGTCTTTTAACAGACAAAACAAAACATCTTATGTTAAGATTTCCTGGTCTTTGTTTCTCTACAGCAAACAGTCGCTTATTCATGGAGACTTGGGCTCAACAGACAATTTGAAGAGAACAAACAAGAATTTTCAGGATGTGGTTGCTTCATTCATGTCGTTTTAAAAACCATGACAATATCAAGTAATCCAAAGTATTCAGATTACGTTACTCACTGAAAGTAATTTAATGGATTACGTTACAAACTACATTTTGGAGGTATGTAATCTGTAATCTGTAGGGGAATACATTTTAAAAGTCACCTTCCCAACACTGATTACAGGTGTGTTTATTGCTCAAAAATAACGTGAAAGCATGTGTTCTTACTGTGAGTGTGATCCCCTCTCCAGAGATCTAGTATAGCACCTTCACCTTCTTGTGTCCATGGAGATAGATTAGTTTAATTGCTGGGTTTCAGATAACATCACAACATTCTATAGGCCAACGATATTTAATACAGATGGGTAAGGTTAGCCAGGCTGGTGCCACCTAGTGCCTCCGTTCAATTTCATTTCTCTCCAGCCACTAGGTCAGGAATCAGAATACACTAGACGGTTTGCAAGAACATCGGAAGTTGTAGACCGCGCACCGGCCAGTCAGTCACTTTAGTGGTACAGTACAACAGTAAAACAAAGCGGTTGAGATGGATGTAGACGAAGACAGACATTCTGTGTCGGCAATGATTCCCGAGATCGAGGATTTTCACTCTCTGCTTTGTTTGCTGTTGTGCTGGCAATTACTTGGACAGATTCATGCTTGGACACCACTGAGCGTTTCGGCGTATTGCAGTTGTCACGATCAAATAGCATCGATTGGTTAAATAAAAAAGTACCCGCCTACCGTTGAGCGAATGAATCTTAATGCTGCGAGGTCAGACGGTTTCCACAAAGTGAAACCGGCTGATGAATCACGCTACCAGTAAACAGGCTTATTACATCGATTCATATGGCCATGCAGAATATCAACTGAACCGATATTTGTAAGCTGATATCCAAAACACAACATTTTTTAGTATCTGCGTTGATATCCGATACTAGTATTGAATCAATGCTTCGCTGCAGATAAAATTATATTGCCACATAAGTCTGTGGTCTAGTTTTTTAGCTTTAGTCACTAATAGAAATGACCCGGTTCAGTATTTGTGAATTTACCTTTTAGATATTTCATGGCAAAATACAATGTTATCAATAGGAACACATGCAATGTCAGTGCATTACATCATTACGTTATCTAGTCTGAAAACTACAAGGTAGATTCTCCGCTAGAAAAATGACAAACTGCACTTTTAAATGACGATAATGTACAATACTTGAATATATTACAGATTTGAACATATAAAATGCACTCAGTTTTGGTTGTTGGCAGTCAGTACGCTTCCATACTGAACAGCTGGTGTAGTGTATAGTGCGTGCCCAGTTCCTAGTGTAAACTCCACTTCCTGGTGTCCTTTTTCGTTCGTAGCCTCTGAGTCGGTTCATGTGGTGTCACTGCAGGCTCCCAACAAACCAGGACAGAGCCCAGCCAGCAGAGGAGCAGCCAAAGCGCACATACCAGGTACATGATCGCAATACTCTCTGACAACAGCAATGAAAACAACTTAACAGCGACAAAAGCATGGACGTTTTTCTGAGTATAAAAGTTACACGTCGCAAGTAGCAGGCTATTGTCATTTGGAGATAGATAAATAGATAAATACACGTATCGTTTTCTTATGTAACTTAAATTATTTTTTGGGTAGAGTCGGTTTAGAAACAGAGGAGACTGGACTTTCTCCGTCGCGCCTCCTAAACTTTGGAATGTTCTCCCTCTCCACATTACAAACTCTCCCAAAGCGAAATTTTTAAAGGTCTCTATGGCTTCTGACTCTAACAAAATTAACAAAATTGACCTATTTAAGTGAGTTAACTGTGTAATTTCTTGCTCAATGTTTTTTATTGGTGATATTTTTGGAGATTTATAAAACACTTTGGTTGTTTTAAATGTGATATAAATACATTGGCTTGGCTTGACACTTTTTATTTGGACACAGTCGCTCACAAATCACAATATATTATAGGGTCCGTCCATATGAAATCAGCCAGCCATTGTAGATTTGACTGAAAAAAAATTCAAAAAATTTCTGAAATGACCAAATGAAAGAATCTAAAATTTTAACTCAATCCCTTCAGACATTCCTGAGTTATGGTCCGTTGAAATTTTGGAAATCTTAATTTATAAGCATTTTTGATAGACCATAACTTCATAAAAAATAGAGCTAGGAAGCTGAAAATTTGTATTATTGTAGATTCTGGGTCATAGATTCTAAAAATATTGTCAAATATGGGGTATCTTTATTAAGAGGGATGCTGTGGGCCCCCAAAATCTCACATTTGGTTGCCGCTCAGTTTTTTTGTTGTTGTTTTTCAATTTTTGAGGTCCAAGATTTATTTACTCCAAGCAGATATTTGCAAACTAACTGCTGAACCTGAATATTTGAGAGAATGACCATTTCTGACAACAATCTCGCACTTTTCTGAGCTTTCATGTGGATGGTGTAGAGTCCCAAATATGGCCACAAACCAGATTTTTACCTTTTTTGGCCTCTTCTTTAGACCCTCGGTTCACCTCGTGGGCACAGATACAGGTTGATAAAATTTTTACCAGAGAAACTTTGGCATATTCTGATTAGTTTAAAGTAATAAAAAAACCATCTACTGTTAATTTCCTTTATTTCAGACAGAATTTTTGAAAATGAGCTCTCACGGGTCATTTTTGGTGGAGCTTAAGCACTTTTCCACCTGCCAGAAAGGTTCAATTACCTTTAATAACCTTAAACACTAGTTGCTTGTTATAAAGGAAGACAATTGCTTTCCTTGAAAACGGCTGATTTCATACGGACAAACCCTATAATAACAAAGCGTATTATCGGTATTATAAGTTCTAAATCAGCAGCAGAAATACCAAGAGACATTTCAAAATACTCGCCTTTACCTCACTCATAGCCCGACTCTGGGAATCTGCTCCAGTTCCTTTAATATCTCAGTGGTTTCGTGATGTCTTAGGATTTCTTAAATTAGAAAAGATTAAAGTTTTGAACAGAAATTGGGTTTGTTTATGGAATACTGCAAATCATTAAAAATTCTGCCTTTAGACGAATAGACTGATCCTCCCCCACCTACTGTCTTCTCTTCTCTCTCTCTTCCTCTCTCTCTTTACCTTTTTTAATTTTATTTATTTATTTATTTTTTTTTTTTTTTCACCATCATAGTTATTATTATCTTTTGATTGTTTGCCTTTACTTCATTTTTTGATAATATTTGGAGTTGGTATTTATTATTAAGATGGTGTTTTCCTTTTGAAAATAAGAAAAATATAAAAGGAAAAATAATTGTGATTTGTAAATCTTGTATGAGTATATTGTGATTCCTTAATAAAAATATTAATAAAAAAATAAAAAAAAGAAATACCAAGAGACTGGTGTCAAATAAGGCGTAATTATATAAAAGTAAATGTACAAGTAAAAATAGAATAAAAATCAAAATATAGTCATAAAAATATAAGATAAGATAAAATAAGATATGCCTTTATTAGTCCCACAGTGGGGAAATTCCAGTGTTGCACCGCACAATTTCAGAACAGCAGGAAAAGGTAACACAGATAATAAATAATAGCTTAAAATAATTTAAAAATAGACTTAAAAATAATTGCACATGGTTAACTCAGCTACACTTGAAAAAAAGAGGAATAAATCTGTGTTTTTTTTTCTGCAGAGCCCCCTCCAGAGTACGAGGCTCGGGACATCAGCGTGAGAGTCATGTCCCCCAAGTCGGTGCTCATCTCGTGGGTCGACCCTGCGGTGGAGATGGGCAAAGTGGAGCCTGGGACCGCACGGTAACACTGGAGCTCTCGTGTCGGAATAATAGCTTAAAGGTTGTAAGGAGGATTTTTTTAAGGGAAGAGAAATACAGCGACAGTCCTTGTGCGCGTTCAGAATCACTGTTGAAGTTTCCTGTCTAGAAGTAATTCAGCGACAGACGCGTCAGTTTTTAGACCCTTCGTCTGCTTCGGTCGCGCCATCGCTGGACGAGATCTCCAAGAATCACCTCAGTTTGGCTTTGCTCCTTTTCCCCCATCTCTTCTTCTTTCAGCGACCTCAAAAACGGACTTTCTTTTGCGGCGAACCGGTCGTGGATTCTCGTCCGCCGTCGCGACAAACTTTGTGCGAAATGCGAGGAAGCGACAGTTCAAAAAAGCCTCTAAGAACCTCTGCGTAAACCACGTAATCCCCGCGCTCCGACGAGTCAGTTACACTAGAGAGTTTGATTGACAACCCAACAGCCAATAGAAAATGAGGGAGCCTCGTTTTCTATTGGCTGATGTTTATCTGGCCTCAACACGTCCACAGTTGATAGATTTTCGTTCTTTTTTTTTTTTGGTCATCATAATTACAAAGCTGCTGCGTCTCTGTAATGGTGTTTTAATCTTTCACTGACAGTTTGAAACTAAAAAAAAATACTCCATACAACCTTTAATTTCTCTTTTAAATGAACCATAATATAAATAAAATGAGCTGTAGATGCTGTAGAATAAATAAATAAAACTGTTATTCAAGTAAAAGTATTGCTGAAGTCAAAGTATTGAAGTACCTGCTTAAAAATGCACTTAAAGAGTGAAAAGTAAACGTTTAATGGATTTCAAATGATTCAGTTGATTTTGTTAATTTTTCTAACTGTTTTGTGTTTTTGCGTGTTTGGTTTTTGGGACATTGAAGTTAAATTAAATGCGCTAAAAATAAGTCTCAGCCATTTCAGCAGGTCTCAAACCATAAAGAAAAGAGCTTTTTATTTTCAGTCCAGATCTAAAATTTAGTGGAGTAGAAAGTACAGATACATGCGCTCAAGCGAAGTAAAGTAAAAGTAAAAAGTATCCAAAGTAAAGTACACATACTGCAGTCTAATTTGGCTATGCTTCCATTGTAGGGAGTATTATACCTCTGATGATGTATGTATGTACGATAACAAGAACTGAGATGGCAGTAAGTGCAGTAGATACAACACAGGAATGGAAGTTATAGTAGTTTGGTATTCGTAATGATTCCTAGATATGTTCATTATTTAACCCTTTAACATATAAAAACAAAAAAGAAAAACTTAGTGTAAATATGTCTTACCGGCAGTGTTGGGGAGTAACAGATTACATGTACCGGAGTTACGTAATCAGAGTACAAATTATGAGTAACTGTATTCAGTTACAGTTACTGTTTCAGTCAGTGGGAATTGGATTACAGTTACTTTGTTGAAATAAACGGATTATTTTCACTGCGGTATTTTCCCCCCCTTTTCTTTTTTTCTCAGTAATTCCACTCATTGCCGGACACTAAACCAGGTCTAAACCAGGTCTAAACCAGGTCTAAAACCAGGTCTAAACAAGGACTAAAACCAGGTCTCAACAAGGACTAAATCAGGACAAAAACTAGTACTAAAACCAGGTCTAAACCAGGACTAAAACCAGGTCTAAACCAGGACTAAAACCAGGTCTAAACCAGGACTAAAACCAGGTCTCAACAAGGACTAAATCAGGACAAAAACTAGTACTAAAACCAGGTCTAAACCAGGACTAAAACCAGGTCTAAACCAAGACTAAAACCAGGTCTCAACAAGGACTAAATCAGGACAAAAACTAGTACTAAAACCAGGTCTAAACCAGGACTAAAACCAGGTCTAAACAAGGACTAAAACCAGGTCTCAACAAGGACTAAATCAGGACAAAAACTAATACTAAAACCAGGTCTAAACCAGGACTAAAACCAGGTCTAAACCAGGACTAAACCAGGTCTAAACCAGGTCTAAAACAGGATTTAACAGGACTAAACCATGCTATGTGGACCGTGTCTCCTTCTCTTCTATCAATATTTTTAATGTGGTTAAGTAACGAATGGGCTTTTCATTGTTTTTTAGCAGACAGAACATCTTACGTGAAGATATCCGAGTCTTTGCTTTTCTACAGCAAATCAAGTCATCCAAAGTACTCAGATTACATTACTCACTTTAAGTAATTTAATGGATTCTGTTACAAACTACATTTTGGGGTATGTAATCTGTAGGGGAGTATATTTTAAAAGTAACTTTCCCAACACTGCTTACCGGTACTTTCCATGTATTAAACAAAATGTGATCTACTAATTGTAACAGGCCTGTCCAAAGGAAGTAGTTATATGACAGTCAGGAACAGAAGTCGTTGTAATTCTTTTTTTCTTTTTGGTTCTTGTCGCAGGTCGTACACGGTGCGGTACAGGGAGAAGGGCGAGTCTGCGCGCTGGGAGTACAAGGACAGCGCTCAGAGGAGGATGATGATCCCTGACCTGTCTGCAGACGGCATGTACGAGTTCTCTGTGCGCATCAACCACGAGAACAACCAGGGCAAGTGGAGCGTGTCCGTGTTCCAGAGGACGCCCGAGTCTGGTACGACCACACCGACGCTCACTCACACACAGGGACTCTTCTGAATCCGTGTGTCATTCGTTCATTCGTTTTTCAATATAAAACCAAAAATAAGAAAACGAAAAAACAACTGTTTTCTGCATTGTTTATCTCCAAAATCAAAATGAAAAAACAGATAATGATTCGTTTTTTTTCAGTTTTCGATTTTGTGTTTAAATGAAGAATGGCAAAAAACCATAACAACCTTTTCCCGTTTACGTGACTTTTGCACTGCATACGGACTGAACCAGGACTGATCCAGGTCCGGGACCAGACTGGGACCAGACTGGGACCAGAGCGGGACCAGAGCGGACTCCGAGCTTTGACTCAGAGCCTCAGCTTCAAGCTCCGGCCCTGCTGTGGGCTCTGAGCCTCCGGTCTGGTCCCGGCCTGGTCTCGGTCTCAGTCCCGGTCTCAGTCTCGGTCTGGTCTCGGTCTCAGTACCACTCTGTTCCCGGTCTGGTCCCAGTCTGGTCCCGGTCTAGTCCCGGTCTAGTCCCGGTCTGGTCCCGGTCTGGTCTCAGTCTCGCTCTGGTCCCGGTCTGGTCTGGTCTCAGTCTCTGTCTCTGGTCCCCTGGTCCCGGTCTGTCTGGTCTCCAGTCTGTTCCCGGTCTGGTCCCAGTCTGGTCCCGGTCTAGTCCCGCTCTGGTCCCGGTCTGGTCTCGGTCTGGTCTCAGTCTCGCTCTGGTCCCGCTCTGGTTCCGGTCTGGTCCCGGACCTGGATCAGTCCTGGTTCAGTCCGTATGTGGTGTAAAAGTTCGGCGTCGCAGTCACGGAAGTCGTGTAAACGGGAAACGGTCGTTATCCGTTTTTTCCATTTTTCATTTAAACACAAAATCGAAAAATGAAAAAACGAATCATTATTTGTTTTTTTCATTTTGGTTTTGGAGATAAATAATGAAGAAAACATTTGGTTTTTCGTTTTCTTATTTTTGGTTTTATATTGAAAAAAGAATGAACGAATGACACACGGATTCTTCTGCAAACTGAATTTAACCAGGAGAGAAGTGGGAACAGTTATTATTTAAGCTTTGGGACGACTGTGGAGGCTGATAGTTCTGCTGCTCTGGCACTGGAGATTGGGTGGAGGTTGTAGCTGAGACAGTAAGTGCACGAATGCATTTGTTCACAATTAGAAAAAAGGTTTATTGCCATTTTCTTTGGTTTATCTGGGGTGGGGTCATGGGAGCAGCCGCTCACACTTCCCTCCTCACGTGCACTGACCGCACCACTGCAGGCACCACACCGATCCACCTGTCAATCTCACGCTCTGTTCTTCTCTCGCTCATGAAGAAGACCTTGAACTGATACTTGAACTCCCCCAGACTAAAGGCAGGAACTCTCCACACCCCTGGAGAAGCGCCATTGTCAATGAACAAAATTCACAACGAGGGACTTGCTTCAGTATTAGGCTACGTTCAGACTGCAGCCTGAAGTGACCCAAATCAGATTTTTTTGGCCCCTATGTGACCTGTATCTGATCTTTTAATGACAGTCTGAATAACATAGATCAGATTTTATAAAATGCTTGGGCTACGTTCAGACTGCAGGGCTTAATGCTCAATTTCGATTTTTTTGTGAAATCTGATGTTTTTGTGAGGTCGTTCACATTTCCAGTTAAATGTGACTTGTATGTGACTCCAGTGTGAACATTAAACGGCCTGAAAGTGTCCCACATGTGCACTGGAGACACGACGACGTCAACCGCAGCGAGCGTCTCTGTGTTTACAGAAGTTGTCCAAACATGGACGCAGCATCGAGCACCTGGAGATTTTAAAGTTCCTCTCGTACCGGAGCCAGAACATGAACAACTTACTTGTTTTAAGGAGGAGATTGAGAAGGAGAAGGACGAGGTTTTTGGTCGTGGTGTTTTGTGGGGCAGCGGCAGCGACGTTCGTTGAAAGGAACGTGTGGATGTGGAGACGGAGCCAAGAGTGGTGAGTGGTGATGTGCTTCACTTCAGTCACACGGAGTTTATTAACAATTTTCACCTACTTCAGCGCAGAATAGTGACGTTTGTGGCTTGTCGGATGAATGCGCTTTGACCGTTCAAACTGAAGTCACATGTCAAAAGATCAGATATGTATCGGTTTCAGGACCACATTTCAAAGTGGCCTGGGTCGCATTTGAAAAAATCTGTTCAGACTGTCATTAAAAGATCAGATACAGGTCACATAGGGGCCAAAAAATCTGATTTGGGTCACTTCAGGCTGCAGTCTGAATGTAGCCTTGGATATGTGCTCCTAAAACCGATACATATCTGATCTTTTGACATGCGACTTCAGTGTGAACGGCCAAAGCGCATTCATCCACCTACACGTTATCAACAAGCCACAAACGTCACTATTCTGTGCTGAAGTAGGTGAAAATTGTTAATAAACTCCATGTCACTGAAGTGAAGCACATCACCACTCACCACTCTTGGCTCCGTCTCCACATCCACACGTTCCTTTCAAAACACCACGACCAAAAACCTCGTCCTTCTCCTTCTCAATCTCCTCCTTAAAACAAGTAAGTTGTTCATGTTCTGGCTCCGGTACGAGAGGAACTTTAAAATCTCCAGGTGCTCAATGCTGCGTCCATGTTTGGACAACTTCCGTAAACACAGAGACGCTCGCTGTGGTTGACGTCGTCGTGTCTCCAGTGTCACATGCGGGACACTTTCGGGCCGTTTAATGTTCACACTGGAGTCACATACAAGACGCATTTAATTGGAAATGTGAACGACCTCGCAAAAACATCGGATTTCACAAAAAAATCGGAATTGAGCGTTAAGCCCTGCAGTCTGAACGTAGCCTAAGGGTGTAACATCAAACAGTTAATAACAGTAAAAATATAAACAGTGATTCAATCAAAATAAATCGACTGAATATAAAAACAAGATGTGTGGATCAAGAGTGTAAAATTATCAATGCAAGAAGATTGAGGGGTGACTGGTTGACAGAGGTGGGGAAAAAGAAGGAAATACAGTCTGTCTGCTTTAATTTAGGGTGAAATACACAATTTTTTCTCAGAATTGTAGGAAAATATGACATTTACATACACCCCCAGAACAGTTAATGTTTTCACCAGGGTTGTACCGTTCCAGCTTTTTCAGTTCTGATACCAAATCCTGTACTTTGGCTTTAAATATCTGCCAACGATACCCGATATCAGCCAATACCAGAGCAGGGACTAAAAATAGACTTTAACAAAATCTGTTGTGTTATTCATCTCTCAAGCAACTGCAGAACAACTTTGCGTTAACTTGCATTAACAATCTGGGCAGCCCTGATGAAGACTAAGTAGTCGAAACGCGTTGACGTGACTATTAATAAATTCACCGCAGCTCAGAGTGCCCCTGCCATCCTTTTTTCCACTTAACATTCTGAGATTTTTTGGACCAACTACAGTCTTATTACATCACTTCATTAACCCAACCAGGATATTGGCAGAATCCATATTTTGGAACTGAGATCTGATCCAGTTAATTTTCACGGATTGGCATTGATTTTCTAGTGCCTCCGCTCAATTTCATTTCTCTCCAGCGACTAATCAGGAAACAGAAAACACTAGACAGTTCGCAAAAAAAAAAAAAAAACCCTGGAAGTGTGAGTTCGGGCACCAGCCAATTAACGAACGTGTTTGCAACGATTCCCGAGATCGAGGATTTAAAGCGGGAATAAAGAGAATGTTTGGTGAATTTTATCAAGGGGAAAGACGTTATTGCTCTTCTTCCTATGGGATTTGGTGCATTACATATGTCACGACCAAATAACAGCGATTGGTCAAATTAAAAAAAGTACCCACCTACCGTCGAGCGAACGAATCCTAATGCTGCGAGGATGAATCAGGCTGCCGATATTCAATACCAGTATCTGTATCGGTGCATCCCAAGTTTTCACAAGTAAAGCAGTCAATTCATTTAACAAGAAGAATGTTCTTTAAAGAGTTCAGTATTCTTTTGTCTGACCATTTTGTTTACCTTTAATACACGCATCAAGAATCTCGGATTTCTGGTCATTGCGCAATGCATACTGGGAAGGATTTTCAAAAAAAGTGAGCATCAAACCTCCAATTGGGATGTGGCTATTGTCAAAGCCGATCTTTTCAAGTCTTTTGAACCATATCGCTTTTGCTTCTGGTTCTGATATTGTCATATTTTAGTTTTGCAATTCGGACATTGTTAATTGTTGTGGTTGTTGGATCCTAACAGCGGAAAACGGCTCGAGAAATTTGTTTGCGAACTCCATAAATGCAAAAGGGAATCAGATGTGTGTGACTGCAAACCACCGTTTAAACTGTTTCTCTTCCCAACAGAATTGAAAAATAGTGAAAGGTGAAGGCGATGGGCAGGATTGATCCACAGGAAGGACCAAAAAGGAAAACTTTGATTGCCTAAATCATCCCAAGTTTGCAGTGAACATTTTGTATCTGGAGCGACAACAAAGTGGGATCCTGTTTGTTAAGTGAGAGGTGCAGAAGACAAACAGACTGAGCTGCACTTTCTTGTTCTTGTGGTTTTACAGCAACATCACGTCTTGGTCTCTTTGCAGTGGAAGGTGTTTCTTGGTGAACAGCTGGTGCCTTTCGCTTTGGCGTTGACGTTTTAAATTTGTAACCGAGGTTGAGCGAGGGATTTTGTTTTGTCGTCGCTCCGCATACAAAATGTTCGCTGCAAATTCGGGATGATTTAGGCAGTCAAATGTTTCCTTTTTTGTTCTTCCTGTGGACCGATCCTGCCCATCGTTTTCACCTTTCACTATTTTTCAATTCTGTTGGGAAGAGTAAACAGTTTGAACAGAGGTTTGCAGTCACACACATCTGATTCCCTTTTGCATTTATGGAGTTCGCAAACAAATTTCTCGAGCCGTTTTCCGCTGTTAGGATCCAACAATCACACAGTTAACGATGTCCGAATCCCAAAACTAAAATATGACAATATCAGAATGAGAAACAAAAGAGATATCGTTCAAAAGACTTGAAAAGACCGGCTTTGTCAACATGCTTGTTTTATTTTGACATGTTTCGACTGTCTGTAGTCATCATCAGAAGAGTCACATGATGTTGCTGTGACATGTCCAGCCCGTTAGATTTAGAAAGTTTTGAACATTAAGTGTGGGAAAGGAAGTATGCCCCCCTCATCTCGGTTTATTCTGGATTTCTCTTGTCTTATCTCTCCGGCTGTGGTGTTTGTTGTCCTACTGTCTCAATGACTTTGGCTCCATCCCAATCCATAACTTGTACTGTTTTTTTTTATTTTTTTTTACTTCGCAGCCAAGCAGTAGCAGTCAAAACATTCCTAGAAACAAACTGGTCTGAGAGAAGTATTTAGAGTTAAAGAAGACCAGATGAATCTCTTTAGAATAGCCCAGTTTCAGATGACATCACTGCTTCCTATAAGCCAATAATGTTTAATACAGATGGGGGACAGCTAAGAGAATATTGTCAAAATGCAGATTTTTTTGGAGTACAGTGAGTTCCAGGCTCTAGTTACTAATATTCATGATCGGGTTTGACGTTTGTGAATTAACCTTTTGGATATTTCATTAGGAAGCACAGCGTAATCAGGGGTTTTCGGGCTCAGGAATGTGATGATGTTATACTCCCAGAACGGGGGCAAGACCCAATTTTGTCCTAATTATAACGTTCCCATGAAAGTATCCAAAAGGTTAATTCATAAATGTCAAACATGATCATGAATGTTAGTGAGTAGAGCCTAGAACTCACTGTATTTTACTAATATTAAACTTTTTAAATGCCCCATCTACTGCTTAACTTTTCCGTTAGGGGCCTGTCACATTTTTCTTTCTGTGGATATGTCATTTCTTAGTTTCGAATGTTCCACAGTGTGACATTAAACAGCTCTACTTCACATTTATTCAGTTGCAAGTGGCTTTATTGCTCAAAAAATACCTATAAAACTGATATTCTGACTGTGAGCGGGGTCGCCTCTCCACAGATCTGACCTGTTACTTGGCTTGATTTGGTCTCCGTGAAGATGGAAAGGTTTAAAGCGTGGCGTCAAAATAATATTAACTGTGAGCGAGCAAATGATCTGAAACATCTGTGACCACTGGGGGGCAGAGGCAGAAGTGGGACCAAGTTGTCTTTTTTTTTGCAAGCGTTAAGTAAGTCTCAAGTCTTTGACCTCAAGTCCGAGTCAAGTCCCAAGTCAAAAACAGGCAAGTCCAAGTCGAGTATCAAGTCACTGGCCCATAAGTCCAAGTCAAGTCCAAGTCGTCTGCTTTGAGCTTCAAGTCTTTAAACCAAAAAAGTACCAAATATAGCTTAGATTTTTGAAATTTATATGATTTTTAAGTTGGATTTTACTTAAAAGTCATAGTATATTTATATATGAGTATTTATATAAGTGCTGAAGAAATGGACATTTTTCGTTTTTTTAATGTATTGACAAGATCTTAGTGTGAATCATTACAGTCAGAACAGAAATAATTCAGATTTAAAAGTGCTTAATATCAGTTATTTTTTCTTGTAGTGAAATAGAAGGATCATGTTCTATGTAGTTCCCTCTGTTTTACTGTATTGTACTGTGTATTATTGTACTGTACTGTATATTACTGTAGTACATTTGAGGATACCACATCACAGTACTTCAGTTTCATCCAAAGTAACAAACAGAAGTGGGAGGGACATGTTCCAGTTTGTTCCTGTAAAATTAAGCACCACATTTATCAACTGTAAAGAGAAAAGTATTTTCTAAAAGCTTGTATTTTTTTAGGAGAAGCATCAAGTCTACTCAAGTCACAGGGCTCAAGTCCGAGTCAAGTCCCGAGTCACTGATCTTCAAGTCCAAGTGGAGTCCCAAGTCTTAGTCCATTTTACCAAGTCAAATCCTCAAGTCCTAAAAATAGTGACTCAAGTCTGACTCAAGTCCAAGTCATGACTTGCAAATCCCCACCTCTGGGCAGACGCACCCTCGAAAAGACAACAAGGTCTCTCAAAGTTGATTTCAGCTCAGGTGAACATGAGGGGGATTTAATTCATTTTTCAAAATAAAATCAAAAATAAAAACACAAAAAAAGAACAATTTTCTTCATTATTTGTCTCTAACACCAAAATGAAAAATAAAGATAATGATTAATTTTTTCAGTTTTTAATTTTGTGTTTAAATGAATAATGGAAAAAATGGATAACGGCCATTTCCCATTTCCGTAACTTAAACTGTGATACCGGACTGAACCAGGACTAAAATAGGTCTGGGACCAGACCGGAACCAGACCGGGACTGAGACTAGCAGTTAGGCCGGGACCAGACCGGGACCAGGACCAGGACCAGGACCAGGACCAGGACTGAGACCGGGACAGATGCCAGGACCAGAAAAGAACTGAGACAAGGACTGAGACTGGGACCAGACCAGAGGCCGGGACTGAGACCGTGACTTAGACTGGGACCAGACCGGGACTGAGACCCGGGGCTGAGACTGGGACCAGACCGGGACTGAGGCCGGGACTGAGACCGTGACTTAGACTGGGACCAGACCGGGACTGAGACCCGGGGCTGAGACTGGGACCAGACCGGGACTGAGGCCAGGACTGAGGCCCAGACTGAGGCCGGGACCAGACCGGGACTGAGACAGGGACCAAACCACGACTGAGACCATGACCAGACCAGAACCAGACTGGGACTGAGACTGGGATCAGACCAGGACTTTTTTTTTTTTTTTTTCCATTATTCATTTAAATATAAAATCAAAAACTGAAAAAACAAATCGGTATCTGTATTTTCATTTTGGTTTTGGAGACAAATAATGAAGAAAATAGTTGTTTTTTCATTTTCCTACTTTTGGTTTTATATTGAAAAACGGATGAACGAATGACACACGGATTGAGAAAAGCAAGTGGCCTTCCACCAGAAAAGTTACACAATTCAACCAAAAAATCCTGTTGTCCTTGGAGATCTGAACACAAAGAAAGTAGAAATGTCGTATGTTTTAAACTGTCCTGTGTAAAATGAACTGTACTTTAAAGTAATAACAGTAACTCAGGTGGGTCCTATAGTCTGAAACTCTTCCTGAAACCACTAAGTCCCTTCATGTTGTTTTACCAAATCTATACGACAGACGTTTACATGCTCCTTAAAATGATTTTCCACTCTGATTTCTGCGTGGCGTAACCCGACTGTCACCACTCCTCCGCCTCTTACCACATGAAAGCCTTTGCGATATCTGAATTTTGGCTTTGTCTCCACGGCAATCGCAGCCCAAAAATACCTCCGCTTCATTTAACAGATTGGATTTACTGCGCGTCTCGCTCTCCCATATGGTTTCGAGTGGGTACTTCCTCAAATATATGGCAGCGTTTTCCACGTTTGAAGAATCCTGGCACCAAACGTCTACTGTTTTTACATAGTTTAGGAGCGATTTCCTCGTTTTTTTTTATGTTGATACTGGAAGCTTTCTGAGCATTCCGCCAGTGTTTTTGTTTAACTTGAACTTTTCTTGTCTGCTAGCTCCATCTGGGCCGCCTGAAAACTTTGAGGTGAAGCCGCTGCGAGGGAAAGGAACGGCCGTCATCGCGACATGGGACCCTCCGGATGAACCCAACGGGAGGATACGAGGTTGTACCCGTTACACAAATCACAAATGGTCGTTTTTAATCTCTTATGAATACAGAAACACTTGACGAAAATGAGCCCCCGTTTTCAACTTGAGTCTGTGTCTGACCTCTTTGGAGCGGAGACAAATATCTGGACTTTCTGAGAAGCTGAGAGAGTTTTGGCGTCTGTCAGGTCTTCTTCATTATAAAAGGAACATCAGATTTCAAAAACTGCCTGGAAGTAAAAATAAGGATACATATGGAGGGATGATTTAGTAGATAGTAGATTAAACATTTGTTGGGTTTTGGCAATTCCTTAAAAATTTGATTAAGAGTGTGAGTTCTTGGGTTATGTTTGTATTTGTGGAGCACACGCTGGTCCTGATACTTCCCAGAATGGCTGATTTGAGTGAAAATAAGTGGGTTACAGCCCATGAGCTCACCTCCCTTTTATCTGATGGTGGACAAAAACAAACAAAAAGAAATTAAGACACATTCAGAATGACTGCCGCCCCTCGGTCTCTTGTAAGTAAGTGAGTAAGTAAGTCTTTATTACCTCCGCCAAAGAGGTTATGTTTTTGCCGGCGTTTGTCTGTTTGTTTGTTTGTTTGTTTGTCTGTTAGCAACATAACTCAAAAAGTTATGGACCGATTTTGATGAAATTTTCAGGATTTGTTGGAAATGTGAAAAGGAAGAACTGATTTCATTTTGGGGGTGATCCGGAAGAAATCCTGGATTCTGGATCACTTTGAAATTTTAGTTAACATTGTGGTAAATGGGGCCAAAAATTTTGTTTCTCAATATTAATTGTTAATTATTGACCAAACCCCATGAAATTTGACTCAGGGATGGACAATGGGATCCTCTTTCATATTCCAAAGGCTGATCCGGATCTGATCCAGAAGACTGAATTTATCCCAATTTATATAAAAAATGGGGGTAGTCTTTGGCGGAGGTCTGCGCTCTCTGACTGCTTTTCTAGTTTATATTGAACCTTTCACAGATTAAAAAAAAAATCACAAAGTGCTTTACAGTGCAAAGAACAAATATACAAAATATAAATATACAATATACAGAGGAAAGCAGTGTCTGATAATAATACATTGGACTTATATAGCGTTTTTTTGGACACTCAAAGACGCTTTACAAACACATTAAAAAGTGATACTGTAGAAAACGGGGGAATCACTGCAGTGAATCCAACTTCCTGATGGATTGTGGGAGTGAGTTTCAGAGGGAGGGTCCGGTGCTGTGTTGGCTGATCTGAGGCTGGTGAGTGGGACAGTTCTGACCGGAGGAAGTCAGTGAGACAGAGATGGACCAAGTTATGGAGGGACTTGTAGGTAATGAGGAGAACCTTGTATTGAAGTAGTATTGGACTAGAACAGGGGTGTCAAACTCATTTTGGTCCTGGGGCCGTATCCAACCCACTCTGATCCCAAAGGGGCCGGATCAGAAAACTTATGGCGTATATCCCCTAAAAATAGCAATAAGTTCAAATATTTGTGCAGAGAAACGCAAATCTATTACAGAGATCTTTTGTAATTGATGAACTCTTTCTTTTAGTTTTCTTTTAACTGTCCCAAGAGTTCAAATTAAAACCCACGGTGAGGCGTCTTTTAGCTTTTATGGCCCCGTCTGTGGAACAGTCGACCTGAGGATCTGAGGTCCACTGTGAGTGTTCAGATTTTTAAAAGTAAACTTAAAACATATCTTTTTAATTTAGCTTTTAACTGAAACTTTTACCTGTTTTAACTTAAATTATCATTATTATTGTTATTATTATAGTTGTTTTAAATTAAATTATCATTACTATTTTAATTAGTCTCCATCTGATTTTAGCTGTACATTTTCATTTTTACTATAACTTTTAAGAGCTTCATGTTTATTAGATTTTTAGTTTTTATGTTTCTGTTTAAATTGTTGTATATATGGGGGGGGTTAATTCATGTATTGAATTTTTTCTGTTGCATGTGAAGCACTTTGTGCTACATGTATGAAAAGTGCTATACAAATAAAGTTTGATTGATTGATTGATTTTACAAAATATTATGACCTGAAACCTTAAGAAAAATGCAATTTCAACACAATCTTTTAACATTAACTTGTGTTCAAATAGGACTAAATCAATTTTTCTTGAAAAATCCTGCACTCGGCTCTACTTTTCTCATTTTGGACATTTTTCTGATGAGGGTGTCACGGTCAACAGTCAAAACGATCGTCCTTTAAGAGCGTTTGGAAAGAGACAAGTCTTCATTTGTGCTGCTCTGGTGGGAGGGGCCACGTACAGAGACGCTGGAGACGCTGCTGTGATAAATTTTAATAGAAAATATAATTAAAATATTTTAGTAGAAAATCAGCCGAGGGCCAGATTAAAGGTGTTGGAGGGCCGGATTCAACCCCTGGGCCGTATGTTTGACACACCTGTACTAGAGTCTGCCTCACAGGGGCTAGGAGTAAGATATTCCATAATTTGGAGGCCACAGCTTGAAATCACACGTCCCCTTTAGTTTTAAATCAGGTCTTTAGGACCATCAAAAGGGTTTGACCTGAGGACCGGAGGGTGCAGCCTGAGGTGTAGGGGCGCAGTACGTCACTGATGTACTGGGGCGCCTGTCCATTTAAAGATTTTAAAATCAACACAGACCAGAAAGCCAGTGCACTGAAGATAACACTGGTGCAATACGTGTTCGCATGTTCACTCCTGCTAAAATCTTATCTATCGTAGCTTTTGCCCCACCCAGAATTGGCGAGCTGCTCTGTTGTATCTAGCGCCCCCTGGCTGCAGAATCTGGATTCTGCCTGTTTATATTTTGGGGTCGACTCCAGTTCCCTGTCCTCCCCGTTTTCTAGTCTTGTCGTTATGTCTGTACTGTGTTTTTTGTTGTATGTGCTGATTCTTTTTTTCTTTGTGTACTCGTTCCAGACAGTTAGTATAAGTTTCCAGATTCCAGATAGTTAGTAGTAAAAAAGATAATTGTTTTTAATCAATGTTAAGCGCTTTGTGTTGCATTTTTTTTTGTAGGAAAAGTGCTCTATAAATAAAATTTGATTGATTAATTGATTAAAAACCTTGCAGACGTTGTAGCCGCTTAAGTGTAGAAGTGTTACAACAAGTAAAAAGGGAATTACGAAAAACTAAACGACATTAAGTGAATTGTGAGGTTATAATATTACATTTTAATATACAGTACAACTTTGGAAGGCAGAGGCTCAGTGTTGTGGTTTTATCCAGTCGAAAACTTTCTGAACCGTGCAGTCACATTGAGATAAAATGTAAAATAAACCCCTATTTTAATGTCTTTAAATTGTCCCTGCAGAGTACACGCTGTCCTACGCTCCCGCCATGAAGCCGTTTGGGATGAAGAGCCTGACGTACTCGGGCAGCACCTCCTCGGCCACGGTGGACGGTCTGACCCCCGGAGACCGATACATCTTCAAGATCCGAGCAGCCAACCGCCGAGGCCTGGGCCCGCAGAGCAAAGCCTTCAGCGTGGCCATGCCGGGATGTGAGTGCGCGGGCTGGAACACACCCCGGGGAGGAGGGGGATTTTGGGATTTCAAGTCTATTTAATTGGGAAAATGTGTTTGGAAATAACAGCGAGATGCAACATTTTGAAAACTAAATACTATTAAAGCCGCAGTATGTAACTTTTTACAGAATAAGTTGAAATAAAACATTGTTACTGTGGGTCAGAGTCCGGCACGGGTTCATTTTTGGAGACTCGCACCCGCCCGGACCTGTTAACCTTACAGCCCATTAGTCCGAGAGCCCAATAGTCCAGGACTAAACCAGGACTAAACCAGGACTGGACCAGGACTGAACAAGGACTGAACCTACGCCGTGTCATTAATGGATTATAAATATGTACACGCCGCAACCGCAGAGCCGATCGCCAGGACTATATCAGGACTGGACCAGGACTACACTAGGACTGGACCAGGTGTAAACCAGAACTTAACCAGGTCTAAAGCAGGACTAAAACAGGACTGGACCAGGTCTAAACCAGGACTTAACCAGGTCTAACACAGGATTGTACCAGGACTTAGCCAGGTCTAAACCAGGACTAAACCAGGACTGAACCAGGACTTAACCAGGACTACACCACGACTGGACCAGGTCTAAACCAGGACTACACTAGGACTGGACGAGGTGTAAACCAGAACTTAACCAGGTCTAAAGCAGGACTAAAACAGGACTTAGCCAGGTCTAAACCAGGACTAAACCAGGACTGAACCAGGACTGAACCAAGAATAAACCAGGACTGAACCAGGTCTAAACCTGGACTAAGCCAAGACTGATACCAGTGCTAAACCAACACTAAACCAGATCAGGACTGAGACCAGGACTGAGGCCAGGACTGAGGCCGGGACCAGACCGGGACCAGACCGTGATTGAGACTGGGACTAAGACCGTGACCAGACCAGGACTGGACTTTTTTTTTTTTTTTTAGTTAGTTTGTTTTGTCATTTTGGATTTGGAGAGAAATAACTAAGAAAATAACTGTTTTTTTTGTTGTTTTTTTGTTTAGTTTTGTCTTATTTTTGGTTTTACTTTGAAAACGGAATGAACGAATGATACATGGTTTAATTTCCTTGTGGAGCAACAGTTTGTCTAAGTCTAAGTTTGTGTGTCAACTGTTGTAACCGACTGAAATCATTGTTTGGCGTTTCAAGGACTGGAAGATTTGTTGTAATCAAATCAAAATCACAGTTTGAATGGACGCAATTAGCAAATCACAAATCCTGCAATTTTCGAAGTACCATAATTTCCTGCACAATCAACAAACAATTCTGTATTTTTCTGCGGATAAACAGCAAATCCTGAAGTTTAGATCAGTAAAATCATGCGCCGAAATGTGATTCTTGTATTATTTTGTCCGCTCGTATTACAGTCCTTTTGTCAATTCTTTTGGAAGTGTTTTAAACATGAACTTTGAACAGAATCCTTTTATCGAATCATAATTCATAAATCTAATCTTTCAGCCCTACGGATTTCCATGGTCATATTTTTTGATTTTATTCAAAACATTTTATCTGAAATCTGTAACTGTTTAATGGTTTAACGAGAAACATGGACACACGGACGGATTTCTGTTCACTTTTGCCGAAATGACGTTTTGAATTGTTGCTGTTGGCTGAATGAGTTCAGGACTAAACCAGGACTAAACCAGGACTAAACCAGGACTAAACCAGGTTTAAACCAGGACTTAAACCAGGACTAAACCAAGTCTAAACCAGGTTTAAACCAGGACTAAACCAGACTAAACCAGACTAAACCAGGACTAAACCAGGACTAAACCAGGACTAAACCAGGACTAAACCAGGACAAACCAGTCTAAACCAGGTTTAAACCAGGACTAAACCAGGACTAAACCAAGACTAAACCAGGACTAAACCAGGACTTAAACCAGGACTAAACCAGGTTTAAAACCAGGTTTAAACCAGGACTAAACCAAGGACTAAACCAGGACTAAACCAGGACTAAGGACTAAACCAGGACTAAACCAAGACTAAACCAGGTTTAAACCAGGTTTAAACCAGGACTAAACCAAGACTAAACCAGGACTAAACCAGGACTAAACCAAGGACTAAACCAGGTTTAAACCAGGTTTAAACCAGGACTAAACCAAGACTAAACCAGGACTAAACCAGGACTAAACCAGACTAAACCAGGACTAAACCAGGACTAAACCAAGACTAAACCAGGTTTAAACCAGGTTTAAACCAGGACTAAACCAAGACTAAACCAGGACTAAACCAGGTTTAAACCAGGTTTAAACCAGGACTAAACCAGGACCGGACCAGGACTGAACCAGGTCTAAACCAGAACTACACCAGGACTGAACCGGCATTGAACCAGGACTAAACCCGGTCTAAATCAGGTCTAAACCAGGACTAAACTAGGATTACACCAGGACTGGACCAGGTCTAAACCAGGACTAAACCAGCACTGAGCCAGGACTGAACCAGGACTAAACCAAGACTAAACCAGGACTGGACCAGGACTACACCAGGACTGGACCAGGACTGAACCCAAACTAAACCAGGAGTAAACCAGGTTTAAACCAGGACTTAACCAGGACTGGGCCAGGTCAAAACCAGGACTGGGCCAGGTCTAAACCAGGACTACACCAGGACTACACCAGAACTGAACCAGCATTGAACCAGGACTAGACCAGGACTTAAGCAGGACTGGACCAGGTCTAAACCAGGTCTAAACCAGGACTAAACCATGACTGGACCAGGTCTAAATCAGGACTAAACCAGGTCTAAAGCAGGACTAAACCAGTGTCATTAGCATAAATATATACACACCGCAACCGCCGAGCCGATCGCCAGGACTACACCAGTACTGGACCAGGACTGGACCAGGACTGGACCAGGACTGAACCTACGCCCTGTCATTAACGTATTATAAATATATACACGCCACAAACCGCAGAGTCGCTCAAATATCTTCAAATATTTAAAAAAAAAAATCTTCCAATCCATTTACACAACTCATTTTGCTAGTTAACTTTTTTTTCTTTTTTTTTTTTTGGTGGACGTTCCTTTAGATGCTTTTCTTCGTGGAGACGTTATTGTTCTGTCTGGAATGTTCCACAGTACGGCATTAAACCTTTCTATCTTCATGGAGACCAAAACCAAGCTAAGTTACAGGTCAGATCCGTGGAGAGGCGACCCCGCTCACAGTCAGAATGTCTGTTTTTCTGGTATTTTTGAGCTGTAAAATCACCTGTAATTGGATAAATATAAGGTAGAGATGTTTAATGTCACACTGTGGAACATTCGAAGCAGAGCAGAGACAAACCCCAACCAAAAAGTTACACAACGCACACTGTTGGGCAAGTTACTTCAAAACTGTAATGTGTTATTCATGACTTGTTACTGTCATTTCAAAGTAATTTGTTACATTAAAATATTACTGTGTTTAAAATGTAAAACATTACACGACTATTGCAGCACTTTAAGTTTCTCTCAACAAAATAACGTGAGTGAAAATGCCGGAAATATATGGACTGAACCAGGACTAAACCAGATCTGAGCCAGGACTGAAATAAGGACTGAACTCGGAGAACTGAACCAACTCTAAACCAGGTCTAAACCAGAGCTGAACCAGGACTGGACCAGGTCTAAACCAGGACTAAACTAGGACTAAGCCAAGACTAAACCAGAACTGAACCAAGACTAAACCAGGTCTAAAGCAGGTTTAAAGCAGGTCTAAACTAGGACTAAACCAGAACTGAAACAGAACTGAACCAGGACTAAACCAGAAACTTAAACCAGAAACCAGACTAAACAGACCCCAGGTCTAAACCAGGACTAAACCAGAACTGAAACAGAACTGAACCAGGACTAAACCAAATCTAAACCAGGATTTAACCAGGACTAAACCAGGTCTAAACCAGGACTAAACCAGAACTGAAACAGAACTGAACCAAGACTAAACCAAATCTAAACCAGGATTTAACCAGGACTAAACCAGGTCTAAACCAGGACTAAACCATGTCTAAACCAGGACTAAACCATAACTGAAACAGAACTGAAACAGGACTAAACCATGTCTAAACCAGGACTGAACCAGGACTGAACCTGGACTGACCCTGGACTGAACCAGGACTAAACTAGGACTAAACCAGGACTAAACCAGGTCTAAACCAGGACTAAACCAGGACTAAACCAGGTCTAAGCCAGAACTAAACCAGGACTAAACCATGTCGAAACCAGGACTAAACCATAACTGAAACAGAACTGAAACAGGACTAAACCAGGTCTAAACCAGGACTGAACCAGGACTGAACCTGGACTGACCCTGGACTGAACCAGGACTAAACTAGGACTAAACCAGGACTAAACCAGAACTGAACCAGGACTAAACCAGGACTGGACCAGGTCTAAACCAGGACTAAACCAGGACTAAACTAGGACTAAACCAGGACTAAACCAGGACTGTACCAGGACTAAACCAAGGACTGAACCAGCTTCTCTTTGCCCCGTGGAGCGTGGAGTCCTGCGTTGGTCCTTTCACCCGCGGTCACCCAACGGTCTACACTGGCGCACCTCCGGGCCCGTCCAGACATTCGTCACCGTAGCGACGGCGTTTTATTTTAGCGAATTTTAGCGAATTTGTATGAAGAAAAACGAAAAAACCCACCACTTCAGTCCGGGTTAAAAAAGCATTGTGACGCACGTGACTGACATTTGTACCGAGTAAAATATGACCTTTTTTTGTCCTTGCAACGCCGTAACTTTACTGCAATACAGCAAAAAGCAATGTATTACAGTAATTTGTTACTTTTAAAACGCGTTACTCCCAACACTGACAGTGCAGCTTTACGAACTAATCTTCTCTCGTCTCTTCTCTTTCCAGCCAGCCGCACAGTCTCGAAAAAGATCGAAGTCAGAAGAACCACCCCAGCTCCAATAGAACAAGACACCGATTACGAAGACCCCGATTTCGAGACGACACCGGCGCCTACTACCACTACTGCTACTACTACTACAATACCTACTACTACTCCTACTACTACTTCTACGACTCAACGAACTCCTCCGGTGCGTCGGCCTCTGTCCCAAACGAGATCCTACCATAACATTTTTTCGGTTCGAGGGTCTGTTAGAAATCGACCTAGAGGGAAAATAAAGCAAACTACACCTCCAACTACTACTACAACTACTACTACTACTACAACTACTACAACTACAGTCAAACCAACAACTACTACTACAACTACTACTACTACAAAGCCCACGACTACACCCCCAGTCGAGGAAACGACGACGACGGAGAATAACGACGTTTTTGAAGACGAGCGAGAAGCTTTGACAACGGAGACGCCGAGTTTAAAAATCCTGACGCCATCGCCGACGAAAAAAGCCAAACCGGTAAAACGGAGGCCTATAACGATCAGAGTTCACCAAAAACCTGGTTCGACAACAAACCTCTCTTCAAAAACTGAATTCGTCCCCCGTAGTTCACACGTTAAAACTACTACAACTCCTCCTACTACTACTACAACGACGACTGCTGCTACTACTACGACTACTGCGGTTCCAGATAGTAATAAAAATGTATATGGTGTATCGATACAGAGTAATTCGCAGCCAGAAAAGACGGCGATTTCGAGCAGGGGTGGTACGGTAAGAGGTGCAGGTGGGTTTGCGTCAAGGTACGGTCTTAATCGAAGGAATCCTAACTTTTCGTTTAGAGGTAATTTGTCTAGAAATGGGTACAATCCAGTGCTGTCCAGTGCGAATTTCCCAAGCAGGGGTCAAAGTAACGTACAAAATGGGTTTAGTAATAAAGACAGTAGTTTAAAGGGAAATGATCCAACAAGAGGAGTTTCTGTTTTAAGTCGGCAAGAGACTTCGGACGGTTTGTACGTCGAGAAACCGGCGAACGCGCAGGAAACGTTGCAAAGCGGCACTACGATATCGAAAACTAGTTCCGGTTCGCAAAGCGGGTCGGAGGGTTTGACGAACGTGAAACCGGTCGACAGTTCTCGGTCTGGTTCAAATGCAGAAAGGTATTCGAAATCAGATGAAAATTCCAGGCATGTCTCAAGGAACAACGGAGAAAGAGGCGATGACAGATACGCCCGAGGTAAAGTGGATTCAGGTTCAAGTTCAAAAGCTATTTCGGAATCGACGAAAGTAGACATAGAGCATATAAGAAACGCCAAAAATCACAGAAATGTTGACAGCGGTGGCAAAAGTTATGAAACGTCAAACTCCAGGACTCAAGTGGAAAAGAGTGTTTCACAACCCAGAACGAACAGCAGGTCCTCAAATACGGATTCGGCGAAATCAGATGATACTGAAAATTCAAATTCGAGAAATTATGACAGAGAAAGTGACAGCAAAAAATACGAAACGTCAAACCCCAGGACGCAAGGGGAAAGGACTTCTTCACAATCCAGAATTCATAGTAGCTCCTCTATTTCGAAATCTGACGAATTAGATAATACGAAAAATTCTAGACAAAATTTTGGTCAAGACCGTGATAGCGAAAAACTTGAAACTTCAAGCTCTAACACTCACATTTCAGAAGGAGAAAAGTCAGCTTTACAATCCAGAACGCACTCTTCAGTTTCAGAATCTTCAAAATCGGAAAATTCAAATGACAATTCCAAACAGGCAACAAATCAAAATGAAGAAAATCATGAGAAACCAATTTCAAATTCCAGGACGCAAATTACCGAAAGCGAAAGAACTGGCTCACGAGCTCAGGGAAGAATTAGCTCATCACTTTTGGAAAAATACCCCTGGCTAGCGACCCGATTCCCGCATAGATTCGGATCATCTGCGAAATCAACAACTTCTGTTTCGAGTTCTAGACAGGATTCGAGAACTTCGCCATCAAGGACAAATTCTTCATCCGTCGGAGCGGCGAGACCGATTTCAAGAGGTATGCCAACTCGAGTTTCAGGGGCAACAGGCGCGGCAGGCGTGTCTATAATTCAGGAGACAAGACCAGCAAACGAAGAAAATAAAAACGTTCCCAAATCGGAATCTTTTAAAAATAATATCGGGATTGAACCGGTAAAGCCTTTTGTAAATAAAGGAATTAGCGAAACAACAAGGCAACAGACTACCTCAACAAGCTCTACCCATTCGAACGGACGTACAAATTCCGAAGTTACGGACAACGAAAGCCACGAAAGGGACGACGGCGAAGAAAATAACGAGAAATCTGATCGAAAAAATCCAGAAACTCAGAGTAAAAACACTGACGGCGAAGAAGGAAGCAACAGTAGGACAGTTCCATCGTCAACATTAAGAAGACCAAACACAGGAAGCAATGGTAGAATACGATCTTCTCTTTTGCAAAATAGACAATTTGGGAGTAGATTTTCTGTTAAACCGGCACAAACCGACGCAAAACCAGCTTTGACCAGCTCTGATAGTAACAATGTCAACGGGAATTCCCTAACCAGGACGGGTGGGTTGGTGCCCGCCGGTGGAACTTCTCCCGGAGAGGGCGTAAGAGTGCCGGGAGGGAGGACGCGGTACCCGATACGAGGAAAGCCAGTCAACGGCGGAGGCGTGTACAAGCCAGGCAGTGGAAACGGTAAGTTCATGTGTAAATTGTAACACGTTTAACTGCGTATTGGTTCATTAAAGGTGCTGTACCTGATTTTTACTGTGTTAAAACATGAAAAACAGAACTACCATGTTTTTCGGATTATAAGTCGCTCCGGAGTATAAATTGCACCAGCCAAAGAATGCATAATGTATAAGAAAAAAAACACCTATAAGTCACACCGGACTATAAGTCTCACTTTTTGGAGGAAATTTATTTTGTAAAAATCAGAGACCAGGAGCCCACATTACGTCTTGAAAGTCAAGTTCTAGTAATAACAATAGAACAGAGAACAACAGACTGTTAACGTCACATATGAACAGTTCTTCAGATAAACTATAACATAAACAACAGAACAGAACAAGTTTAACAAACTCTCCATCTCACTCCAAATCACTAAATCCATTCAATTCTTCATCCTCGGTGTCACTTCTGAGCAACTCCTCGAACTCCAGAGGTAAACAGAGCGTCGCTGTGTAGCTGTCGTCAGACTCAGCTTCAGGTCCAGTTAGAATTATTCGGGTCTTTCTGAATCCCGACAGGATGGTTTCGGTGTCACTGAAGTCCAGACTTTATCAATCCATCCAATCACTTCCAGGAAAGTTTCATGGTGCATCCTCCCAGTTCTCGTGAAGCTGTGTTCTCCATCCCTGCTTTCCACCAGTCTCTCACAAGTTTCTGTCTCGCTCCAAACTTTCTTTCTGCTGCTCGATTATCGTTTTCAGCTGCATATTTCACTACTTGCAGCAGGACAGCAGCTCTTTCTGAAAGAGACATGCGCAGTAGAGTAAAGTGACAGTGGTACAGGAGTAGCACAAAAGCCTAGAGCGCCCTTTCGTGGTTGTCAGTGTGAAAATTTTAATATATAAGTAGCATCAGAGTCGCAGGACCATTCAAACCATGAAAAAAGTGTGACTTATTGTCCGAAAAATACGGTAGTTCATCTTAAAGGTTCTATATTACACAAAATTGACTCTCATGAGATTTAAACCACATTATAATGTTGTTACCTTATCAAAAAAAAAAAAAAAGCCTGGAGTTGTGTTTTGTTTCATTCACATGTTTTAGTAACCCTTTATTATTAGTCTGTCTACATCTTCAAAAGCTCAAAATGCTCTGTTCCACCTTGTGATGCAATGTAGTTGTAATTTTCAAATGGACTTTTCACCTTTTACCTTCTGTTCAGTAGAGATCTGCAGTTCCAGGGCTGAAATTATCCAAATAATTCCAGTGAAGGTTTGTGGAGTTTAAAATGTGGCCATACCAGTTTATCAAAGTCTGATCCTGTCAGATCTCAGAAGCTCAGTGTGGTTGCCCTTAGGCTTTTCCACACAGGTGCCACAGGGGCTGCTCAGTGCCTTAGGCAAGACACTTCTTACTGTGTGATGAATAATGCTCACTGCTTCTTGTGACTGAATAATGATGTCTTTGTGAAAACTGTGGTATAAGCACTATATATATACTTACTTAATTACTAAAAACAATGGAGCACTTCTTGTTTTACCACATCACGAGGTAGAACAGAACTGTGTTTTCAGTTTGAGATAAGAACTCCACCTTGCCTAAGATGCAGGGTGTTGTGTGTGCCAAAACATCAAGGTCTGTTTGCAAAAAAAACTCACAATAGATGTAAGAGTTATAAACCCCTTTAAAGTTTTGCAGTTTCCAGTTAACTTATGTTCAGTCTCTTATTTTATGCACAAGAGCATCCTAATTATGTCACCACAATAATATTTGCAAATTTTTGGAAATGCGGAATTGAGACAAAAAAACCTTAAAATTGTTATAAACACTTTTTATTAGGATAAAATTGTAAAATAAATACATAAGCTTAATTGTGCTCAAACTTAGGTTGTTAAGACAATGTGCAAACAGTTACTAGTTAATGCACAATAGGCAGGGAAATAGCATAATTATAACTCTAAAACTGCACATAGGATGCAGGTTTGTGTGCAAATTAAAACTGCACATAGGCTTAGGAATGTGCAATAATATAAACTGCACAAACTGTTTGCAGTGTCCAAAGTTATTCCTCTCTTACCTTATGCATTAATTATTCACCAAATGAATTGCACATTTTGCACAGAGCGGATTGAGGGAATGTGCTTGCTTAATCAATTATTAACATAGCAATATTTGCTAGGAATAATTATAACTAAAAAACTAGCACATAGGCTTAGGGAATGTGCAATAATTATAACTAAAAACTGCACATAGGCTTAGGGAATAATATAAATAAAACTGCACATAATAAATGGCTGCACATAGGGGGAATGTGCAATAAATTAATTACTAAAACTGCACATAGGCTTAGGGAATGTGCTAATTAATAGGCTAAATATATGCACTATTTAAACGTGCAATAATTAAACTGTGCAATAATCCTTAGGAATGTGCAATCAATTTATAATAACTAGCAAAAAAGGCTTAGGGTGCATATAAATAACTAAAACTGCACATAGGCTTAGGGATGCATAATTACTACAATGGTGCAAAAATAATAAACTGCAGGTTGCCTGTTATTTATATTTTATGGTGTTTGTTTATTGTGTGCTGCTTTGTGTTGTGTTGTGTCCTGTTTTTTGATAAAACATGTTACCCCCTGTCCCAAGACAAATTTCTCCCATGGGAGACAATAAAGGATTATCTTATCTTATCTTAAGATAAATACATGGTAAAAAGTCGAATATAGGACCTTTAAGTTGTGTATTGTTTAGTCATTAAAGGTGCTTAAAATGCGAAAAACAGAACTAGTTTGCAGAATTATTCCTTACTTACTTATTCACCACCATCAGTTTATAAACACTTTTCAGAACAGAGCAGAGTGGAGCGTAGATGTTGCATGACGTTAAAGCTAAAGACACCTGGATGATAAAATGCTTTCTAATTTGATGCAGGCAGGTACAGGGCCTCAAGATGTGTATTTCTGATTTATTCATTGTTAAGTGTTTTTGTTTGTGTTGATGGATTAGACAAAAATGGACGACCAAACCTGACAACAGCTGAGGATAAAGAGCCTGTGACGTTGGACGAGTCGAGTAAAGTGAACGGTCAGAGGTATATCACAGGGCCGGATGGGATCAAATGGGTAAGGATTGAGTAAAATCGTGTACGAACAATCAGAGGCTGTGTTTCGATGAGAATAGAAAAGACGGGGTTAGGGCTGAACGATTTAAGAAAGAAAATTAATTGTGATTTTTTTGCAGATATTGTGATTTTCGAAAAGATTTGCGAAAGTTTTAGTGCACGTGAACATTTGCAAACATCACAGAAACTTACATCATACCAGAGTCCTGCACCGATGATTTGCCGCTGGACCGTTTGCGCACATTTGTTTACGTTTTACAATTTTACACGTTTTTCATTTGCATAAACTATAAATGCTGATAAAAACAGCTCCGTTCAGCTTCTGTCGGACTAAAGGACACGACTCAGTGGAATATGAGTGTTCTTTTCTGTGACAGAGGATGTGCTGATGATGGTGAGTCTGTAATGTGTTTCTATCGCGTTGGAGATGGTTCCATAACCCATAAATCAGGCCCCGTCCACACTCGTACGTATTCGAGTCGTTTTCGTTGTGGATGCAGTGTTCGTCCACACTAATTCGATTGAAAACAGCTCCAGAGACGGAACGATCTGGTGCCGCCAGCTCCCACGAATTCATCTGAGTACAGATCTGAAGCGGAACTGTGTGGACGCTTGAAAACGCTGATACGCTGATGTAGGTCTGTGCGCCGCGAAGTATTTCACCGCCAAAACGCTAAGAGGCTAGAATATATGTCCATTCATATATACAGTCTGTGTGTACGAGCTGCAGATGTATAATCTCTGAAAAGTTTAACATGAACCATCTCCAATGCAATAGAAGCACAGAACAGACTCACCATCAGCAGAACACCCCTCTGTCACAGAAAGAACACTCATATTCCACTGAGTCGTGTCCTTTAGTCCGACAGAAGCTGAACCGCATCAGCGCACAATAGCGAACTGTTTTTTGAGCGCTCAGTGTTAAACAAATTAGACATGCGGTTTTAAGTTTTGTTTCTGTAAAACATAAACAAATTTGCTCAAAGCTTTGTGGATAGGGAAGGCTTGCGGACACAGAAACGATGTGTCTGGACGCAAATCGTTTCTGATACGGTGATTCTGTGATTCGCTTTCAATGTAGACGTAGCCTCAAAAACACGGTGACAAGAGGACAGTGGCAGTGTACGTTGAGTCGACGCAAAACTAAACTTCGCCCTTTAAAAACGCGGCTATGACACTCCCAAAATCATGTTGTTTGAAATCGCGATTTTCGGTCCAAATCGATAGATCATTCAGTCCTAGACGGGGTATTACACTTCGATGGGGTATTAACTACAAACACATAACATATTTGAATCACCACGTTACCTTTTATTGTTTTGAAAATGCTATATTTAAGAAGTTTAAGAAGTTTCTTTGACGCTCTGAGCATACTAACCATTAGAGGTAGTGTCAAAATCCAAATATCGACTATCAACCTTAACTCTCCAGGATAGGCCGATATTTTTCCTTTAAACACAAAGCTTTATACTAAAATACAAAAAGGACGCTGTACAGAATGTAAAAATGTGGTAGTTTTTAAGCTAGTAATGAAAACAAAAGATTGTAGAACATCCCCAGCGCGGTGTCTCTGCAAACTATCAATTGTCTCCTTGTCTTATTTCAGCTGGTGGACTTGGAGAGAGGTCTGCTCATGAACTCAGAAGGACAGGTTCTTCAGGACTCACAGGGCAAGCCCAGGAGAGTGGTGCTGGGAGACGACGGCCGCACCATATTTGGTCGGGTTTTTGTATTTTTATTAGATCAACTGTACTGAGAGCCAATTTTTTTCTGCTTCATTGTATTTAGTCTGTTTCTTACATTGTTCTTTGTGTCTCCAGACATGGCAGGCAGTCCTCTGGTGAACGAGGACGGCGTGGCTCTGTTTGGACACGGCAGAGACAGTCGTCCTGTGGTCAACCCCAAAGACAAGATGCTCACGTTGGGAGGGAAACCTTTACTGGGCCTGGATGTACCCAAACGCAAAACTACTACTACTACTACTACTACTACAACTACCACCACTACTACTACAACAACCCCAGCTCCTACTACAACTACAACTACAACTGTAGCTCCTACAACAGAGTGGACCTCTCCTCCATTCCCAACATGTCCACCAGGAACCTACTCCAAAACCGATCAATACGGACACCCCGAGGTGGATGAAGAAGGAATACTGGACTGTTACCCCATCGAAGGTACAGCAAAAACACCTTCTGCACACTAACTGACTTGAAAAAATAATATATTTATCTTGGATATAAAATATTTGTTACATGTTTGTGTCAACATTGAGCCATATAACTCTTCTGTTTCCATTGTTCCTCATCAATCTGTTAAAAAAGACACATCTGATACACTGAAAACAAACTGGGAATGACACATGGACACACAGAGACTAGGGCAGCACCAAAAAAAAGGGTATTAGTCGATGCTGTTATTGCCCCCCCCCCCCCCCCCAAAAAAAAAAAAAAAAAAAAAAAATATATATAATATATATATATATATATATATATATAAAATGTGTTTCTCACCTTCCACGGTGGTTGGTCTCTCACCCTCATTGAGCTCGGGTCCTCTACCAGAGGCCTGGGAGCTTGAGAGTTCTGCGCAGTATCTTTGCTGTTCCCAGTACTGCACTTTTCTGGACTGAGATGTCCGTTGTTTTTCCCGGTATCTGTTGTAGCCACTCTTCCAGTTTGGGGGTTACAGCCCCGAGTGCTCCGATCACCACAGGCACCACTGATGCCTTTACTTTCCAGGCTCTCTCCAGCTCTTCCTTGAGCCCTATATATATATATATATATATATATATATATATATATATATATATATATATATATATATAAATCAATATTGGTCCATGCCGATTAAAGCTGGGCATCATTAAGAAGTTGCCAATATGATACAAACCTCGATACATAGGCCACGTTACCATAAAGATGTTGATACAGTGCACTTGCGATCAAATCGATTTGATATGGTTCAAACATAATCACTTATATAAAGTCATATATAAGTCTTTGTTAAGCCACGACCTGTGGTTTTGTTGTGAATAACACTGGTAGCATTGATGCTGGACGTACATTGTGTGTTATTTTCGATCGTTTCACTCAGTCCCAGCTCAAACTGTACGACCAAATTGCAGGGTTTAAAACACTATGCAAATTACTTCAACAGAGCGAAACCCTCACGAGAGGCGACTGGATTTCAAACAGGTTTGATATTCTTGCAACCTCCAATTGCCGATCAGGAGCTGGTCGTGAGGTATTAATCAGTTCTCTTTACCCCGTGTTACTACACGAAGCATGACACACGATTAAGCTAAAACTCGGCCAAATCCCAAAAACAAAGAAATGAAAAAAATTGTCTCAAGGGCCAAAAATCGCACAGTGTACGCCCGGCTTTAGAGCTATACTGATCGAGTACTGTATCCATCAATATTTTTACTTTTAAGTATCTGCCAGCACCCGATACTAACTTAATACCAGTGTAGGGATGGAAAATGGCATTTATTTCCATTAAAACACAGTTAACTTATTACAACAGAGCTCCAATTGTGTTGCAACTGTTATTTAAGACCTTTGTGTGAATAAAAATACAAACATTATGAGACATTCTTGATCTTATTACATCCATTTAAAGGCCAAACCAGGATATCGGTTGAACTGATATCATCAAACCAATATATGATCCAGCAAATTTTTCACTATCAGCACCAACATTCACCACCAGTATTGCCTAACTCCACATACCACGGCCACTTTGTGGTGAGCAAACCACACAAACGGTTCAATATCCTCCTATTTGATTCTTTGTGAAGACCCAAACTGTTCTGTTTCCTGCCTTTCCCGCAGACTGACAGCTCTGCTCTGGGGTTTGTGATGGGGCACAGTGGAGTGAGGGGTTTGAATGGAGTGTCTATGTGAAACCATCAAACCACAGCAGCAGGGACGTGAGCTGGTGCTGCTTTAATAATATGTCTTGCCCATAGAACTGTAATAAAATCTGGAGGATGAATCCAAGATGGTGCTGTATTGTTTTCAGTGGCCTGTGCTCACTGGCACATGGGCCCAAAAAACATTTTCCCTTACGCATTTACCTCCTCAGTACAGCCGAGCTCCTCCCACCCGTGTGACGTCTGTAATGAACATGGCGTGGAGCGTTTGGACCAATCAGAGTGAGAGCTGCTCTGCTTAAAAAGTTTATGTTGTGAAAATAGAAATGAATCCCTACAAAATTCGACCTTTGTGAAAGTTGTCGATGCCCTGTCAATTCTTTCTGGGCCCAAACTCCCGGGAGCTGAAGCAGAAGTGTTCAAGACATAAGGCTGCACTGTTTCTTGCTTGAATAGGTTAACAAACAAAGGCAAAAAAAAGTCATAGACGCAGTGTTACAAAGTCTTACTGCATGGAGCGTCTTAAAACGTGAGAGAGCACGTCTTTGGGTGGAGTTTGGGACGGGCTTGTTAACATTCTGTTGGGCCCAGACTCGAACAGGGGAGTGTTGCAATTGCGCGTTTTGGTCAGTTTAGGGAAGTAGGCTAAAGAAAATATGGTAATGGCGACAACTAGATGGTGCCCCAGAGAGTATTTCAGAAGTAATTTGCCTTTTGGACGCACTCGCACTCAACTTTACATCGCAGTAACCAAGACAGTGCGTATACATGCACCATGACTAAAAACACGATCGTAACTGAGATACTGACTGTCCTGACTCGTTAGAAACAATGCTCACCAGATCAGATGTAACACGCTCGCAGACTGGCACGCTGTTACTGTTCCCTCCTTGCGTTTCGTCGTTGTTGAGTTTTGGCTCTGAAGACGCACATTGAACAGAATTTTAAAACCCTTTGTGGCCCCCCGAGCCGAAACGTTTGCCCACCCCTGTTATAGATCCATGGTCTTGCCTCAGTATAGATATATTGTATAAGCAGGAAAATTATAATTGTACAGTGTTTTATTGTCTGTTAATCAGGAAGTGCGTGGCTGGCATGCTAGTTGGGGTTAGATTTACTGCAACTGGCCTCAAAAAGCGCTGATAAACTCATGGTGTGAATGCTTGTAATGCATAACTGTTGCACCACTGCCAGTGTTGGGAAGGTGATTTAAAATGTAATCCCCTACAGATTACAGATTACACACCCCAAAATGTAGTTTGTAACGTAATCCATTCAATTACTTGAAGTGAGTAATGTAATCTAAATACTTGGGATTACTTGATTTTCTGTAGAGAAGCAAAGACTCGGAAATCTTCACATAAGATGTTTTCTCTGCTAAAAGAAAATAAGCCCAGACTTTCCTTAACCGTCCTGTTTTAGAGCTGATTTAGCCCTAGTTTAAACCTGGTTTAGTCCTGTTTTAGACCTGGTTTTAGACCTGGTTTAGACCTGGTTTTAGACCTGGTTTAGACCTGGTTTTAGACCTGGTTTAGACCTGGTTTTAGTCCTGGTTTAGTCCTGTTTTAGACCTGGTTTTAGACCTGGTTTAGACCTTTTTAGACCTGGTTTTAGACCTGGTTTTAGACCTGGTTTTAGACCTGATTTTAGCCCTAGTTTAGACCTGGTTTAGACCTGGTTTAGACCTGGTTTCCTGTTTAGACCTGGTTTAGTTTAGCCCTGGTTTAGTTTTAGAACCTGGTTTAGTAGACCTGTTTTAGACCTGGTTTTAGACCTGGTTTAGTCCTGTTTTAGACCTGGTTTAGACCTGATTTAGCCCTAGTTTAAACCTGGTTTAGTCCTGTTTTAGACCTGGTTTTAGACCTGGTTTAGTCCTTTTTTAGACCTGGTTTAGTCCTGGTTTAGACCTGGTTTAGATCTAGTTTAAACCTGGTTTTAGACCTGGTTTAGTGTCCGGCAATGAGTGGAATTACCAAAAAAATAAAAAATAAAAATAAAAAGGGATGTAGCCCAAAATGTGAAAACAGGAAAACCGCCGTGTAATCCATTTATTTCAACAAAGTAACCGTAATCCAATTACTACTCATTGAAACAGTAACTGTAACTGAATACAGTTACTCATAATTTGTACTCTGATTACGTAACTCCAGTACATGTAATCTGTTACTCCCCAACACTGACCACTGCAAACTGTTTTAAATGAACTAGTTCTGTTTTTCTCATTTTTAAAGCCCTATTCTCGTGGGTTTCCCTGGTAAATTGTAATAATTACGAACGTCATCTGTGTTTCTAGTCCCGTGTGAATTTTCCATGTAAAAATTCCCCCAAATTTTACCTTCTGTAATTCTCCAAACTCAAAGGTCTTCAGGTTATTCTAGTCCTGTGCAAACGTCTGTAAATTGAAGCTTTTAGTGATTGAAAACGTCTTTTATTTTAAATATTAGGTCCAAATACAAATTAAATCAACAATATTTATTCTCCACGGACTAAACTCTAAATCCAGCTTTGTTTTTGCTCAATTAAAAACTAAACAACATAAAACAAACTGAATTCAAAGGTTCTTGCTTTGTTTCGGTGTGTTTATCAGTCCAACATTTCGGAGTAAAGTGCGTAAAAACATGTAGTTTACTGACACTGCTTCTCTCGTGTGAATGGACACAAAAAATAAAGACGTCGTGGGGTAATCTGTGCACGACAGCGTCACTAATTCAAGGTTCAAGGTTCTTTATTTGTCATTCGAACATGCGAGAGAAACACATGACAGAACGATTATGTGTTCCTCAAGGCCCAACGATTAACAGAGATAAAAACGACAATAAATAAGCAATATTAAAAAGTACATCAGGAGCATTTAGAAGTTCCAACAGACAAGTACAAGTTGGTTTTAGGAGCACGTATCTATGGCTACGTTCACACTGCAGCTTGAAGTGACCCAAATCCGATTTTTTGGCCCCTATGTGACCTGTATCTGATCTTTTAATGACAGTCTGAACGACACAGATCAGATTTTTTTCAAATGTGACCCAGGACACTTGGATATGTGGTCCTGAAAACCGATACATATCTGATCTTTTGACATGCGACTTCAGTGTGAACGGCCAAAGCGCATGAATCCGACAAGCCACAAACGTCACTATTCTGCGCTGAAGTAGGCGAAAATTGTTAATGAACTCCGTGTCACTGAAGTGAAGCACATCACCACTCACCACTCTTGGCTCCGTCTCCACATCCACACGTTCCTTTCAAAACACCACGGCCAAAAACCTCGTCCTTCTCCTTCTCAATCTCCTCCTTAAAACA